TAGTAGTAGTACTAGTATTAGTACTACAAGTAGTAGTATTAGTAGTAGTAGTAGTAGCAGCAGCAGTCGTAGTAGTAGTAGAGGTAGTAGTAGTAGTAGTAGTAGTAGTAGTAGCAGCAGTGGTAGTAGTAGTAGTAGTAGTAGTAGTAGTAGTAGTAGTAGTAGTAGTAGTAGTAGTAGTAGTAGTAGTCGTAGTCGTAGTAGTAGTAGTAGTAGTAGTAGTAGTAGTAGTAGTAGTAGTAGTAGTAGTAGTAGTAGTAGTAGTAGTAGTAGTAGTAAGTAGCCTTAGTAGTACCAGGCGGGCCAGCACGAGGCGAATCCTCGACGCGCCCGTTCAAGTGGCAACGGGCGGCAACGAGCGGCAACGGGCAGCAACGGGCAGATAAGCGTCAACGGGCGGCGACGAGATGCAAAGGTCAGTGACGGGCTGGCGAACGTGGCGACTTTTCACCACTGCCACCGAAGCGGCATGGAGTGGTAACGGGCCACAGCGTGGCGAGTCTTCGACGCACCCGCCCAAGCGGCAATGGGCGGCAACAGTTGGCAACGGGTGGGGACGTTGCGAATCTTCGACACACCCACACAAGCGGTGACATGCGGTAGAAGGCGGCAACGGGCCGGAACATGGCGCATTTTCGACGCACCAACCCAATTCTATTGTAACTTCGGTGGGGCACTCTAATGGAAACATTGCTTGCGGAACATATATATATAATGTACATACATATATACACATATTACGTTTATATGTACACATGCGTTCGCCAACGTTGATTCCGAATTGTGGTTTCTAGCTTACTTGTTGATGCGATGTGCTTGCTACAAGCCATGTTGTGCAAGCTCTGTGGCGCAATCTATGCGGTCAAGATGTATGGTGTAAGCTACATTGTGCTATCTACGTGGTGCAATCGATGCGGGGGTGATTTATACAGCGCGTCTATGCGGTGCAATTCAAGTGGTGTGTTTCATGTTGTGTCAGCTATATATATATATATATATATATATATATATATTGCATCGCACGCTGTGCAATCTTTCCATTGCGGTCTATGTGGTGCTAGCTATTTGGTGTAAACGATATGGTGCGAACTAAAGGTGTGCCAACTATGTAGGTGAGTATATGCAAAGTAAGCTTTGCAAAGCAACGCTACGCAATACCAACCAACGCAAAGCAATGCAACGCAGTGCGAAGCACTGCAAAACAATGCAATGCGATTGCAATGCTGCGCAATGCGAATGCAATGCGATCGCAATGGTGTGCGATTGCCCCACGTTTACAATGCAATGTGATTGCAGTGCAACTCAACACATTGCGATTGCAACACAGTGCGATTGCAATGCAATGCGGCGACGAGGCGACGAGGCGGCTGCGACGGGCGGCGACGAGGTCGCGAAAACCTTGAGTATATTTATATTGTATGCGCGTCGGCCGCGCAAAAGGCGACGCGCACGCTCGGACATCTTGTAGTATAAGGTCGTTCTCTCCCTCCTCCTCCTCCTTTTCCTCATCATCCTCGCACTTCTCCTTCCCGCCCTTCCCCCCCCGTCCTCCTGAATAATCGCCCGCCTCCTTCCCGTCCTCCTCCCTCGCCCTCCTGAATGATCGCCCTCCTCCTTCTCGCCGTCCTCCTTCCCGCCCTCCCCCCTCGTCCTCCTCAAGATTTGTTGCCTTTCTCCTCCACCTGGCTCCCTCCTCCTTCCCGCCCTCGCCCCTCGCCCTCCTAAATTATCCTGGCGAAGGACCCAACCATATGCAGTTGTGAGTATCGCAATTGTGAATATCTTCTTTGGTGACGCTCCCTGTGGGGCCACGAACCGCATGAGGGGTGTGCCGAAATGTGGCGGGGTACACAACGCAAAGGAATACGATAAATCTGATTACGAGAGAAAGAACGCGGGTGAGTCAGAGCGCGAGGGAATCTGAGTATGAATGGGTCTGCGCGCGAGTGAATATATTTGCATGAATGCGATCATGGAACCGCCTAGTGTAAGTGTCGAGCATGCCTGTCCGAACACACGTGACACTGGGCGTGGCCGCCGCAGGCAGCTTCCGCGGGAACCCCGACGGCAGCGTCCGCACGTCGCGACGCCCATGTCGGCACGCCTCTTGCGAGGATCGCGCCCGCTTTCGGCTCTTCTTTTCCTTCCTCTTTGCCCGCGCACTCCAAAATCCAAGGCTGCGGGCGCAGCGCAGCGCGGAGTCCCCGCGACGCGCGCTGGTCGCCCCGGGCGGGGTCCCAGCGACGCGCGCGGGTCGTCCGCTGCGCGAAGCAGAGAGAGCTGACTAGCTAACTGGCTGGCTGATAGCGGGCAAGTCTCTGACCGCTGGGCAGAGCGACGACGGGCGAACGAGGCGCCGGGCCCCCCGCAGCACGGAGTTCCCGCGACGCGCGCTGGTCGCCCCGAGAGGGTCCCAGCGACGCGCGCGGGTCGTCCGCGGCGCGAGGCCAAACAATTAGTCGGGCAGTCGAGAGAAGGCGCGGCTCGGGGGAGACGCTCCTCAGGTCAGGCCTCGCGGATGAACTCGGTGAAGCCGAGCTCCCTGGCGAGGGCCGTCGCTTCCCTCCTGCACCGCTTCGTGCGCGCCGCAAACTGCTCCAGCTGCTTCCGCAAGCCCTGCGGCGGCCCTGCCAGGAAGAACTCGATGCGCGGCGCCCGCATGAGCAGGAGGTCCTCGTGGCGCGTGGCGCGCGAGAGCAGCACGTAGAGCTCCAGCCACCAGTCGTCGTCCTCCTTCTTGCCGTTCCCTACCTCGTGGCGGCCGCAATCCAGGATCACGCCTGGGCGACGTCGACCGAGGGAGCAGCGCGCCGGGCAGCCGACGGCCCAGGGCGAGAGTCCACAGGACCGAGAGATGGTCTGGCCGCGGACTGCTCGCGCCCCGGAGGTCTGGCCGCCCCCGGAGCGCCGTTCCCCCGCCCCGTCGCCTTCGCGCATGGTGCGCCCCTGGCACGCCACCGTGGTGATGACCCTGCCGTGCGAGAAATGCGGGGGGTGTGCCGAAATGGGTGGGGGTGACGCATGCGGGCGGCGGCACTGAGGCCTTCGGTGGAGCTCCCTATGGAGCCACGAAACGTGTGAGGGGTGTGCCGAAATGGGTGTGGGTGACGCATGCGGCCGCGGGCACTGGGGCCTTCGGTGGAGCTCCCTATGGAGCCACGAAACGTGTGAGGGGTGTGCCGAAATGGGTGTGGGGGACGCATGCGGCCGCGGGCACTGGGGCCTTCGGTGGAGCTCCCTATGGAGCCACGAAACGTGTGAGGGGTGTGCCGAAATGGGTGTGGGTGACGCATGCGGCCGCGGGCACTGGGGCCTTCGGTGGAGCTCCCTATGGAGCCACGAAACGTGTGAGGGGTGTGCCGAAATGGGTGTGGGTGACGCATGCGGCGCGGGCACTGGGGCCTTCGGTGGAGCTCCCTATGGAGCCACGAAACGTGTGAGGGGTGTGCCGAAATGGGTGTGGGTGACGCATGCGGCCGCGGGCACTGGGGCGTGTGCCGCAATGGAGCCACGAAACGTGTGAGGGGTGTGCCGAAATGGGTGTGGGTGACGCATGCGGCCGCGGGCACTGGGGACCTTCGGTGGTGCTCCCTATGGAGCCTCGAAACGTGTGAGGGGTGTGCCGAAATGGGTGTGGGTGACGCATGCGGCCGCGGGCACTGGGGCCTTCGGTGGAGCTCCCTATGGAGCCACGAAACGTGTGAGGGGTGTGCCGAAATGGGTGTGGGTGACGCATGCGGCCGCGGGCACTGGGGCCTTCGGTGGAGCTCCCTATGGAGCCACGAAACGTGTGAGGGGTGTGCCGAAATGGGTGTGGGTGACGCATGCGGCCGCGGGCACTGGGGCCTTCGGTGGAGCTCCCTATGGAGCCACGAAACGTGTGAGGGGTGTGCCGAAATGGGTGTGGGTGACGCATGCGGCCGCGGGCACTGGGGCCTTCGGTGGAGCTCCCTATGGAGCCACGAAACGTGTGAGGGGTGTGCCGAAATGGGTGTGGGTGACGCATGCGGCCGCGGGCACTGGGGCCTTCGGTGGAGCTCCCTATGGAGCCACGAAACGTGTGAGGGGTGTGCCGAAATGGGTGTGGGTGACGCATGCGGCCGCGGGCACTGGGGCCTTCGGTGGAGCTCCCTATGGAGCCACGAAACGTGTGAGGGGTGTGCCGAAATGGGTGTGGGTGACGCATGAAGCTCCCTATGGAGCCACGAAACGTGTGAGGGGTGTGCCGAAATGGGTGTGGGTGACGCATGCGGCCGCGGCCACTGGGGCCTTCGGTGGAGCTCCCTATGGAGCCGCGAAGCGTGTGAGGGGTGTGCCGAATTGGGTGAGGGGGGAGGAGGCAGCGGGAGGAAGGAAGGAAGGAAGGAAGGAAGGAGAACGCGGGGCACCGTCTCTTCAAAACGAGGACCCAACACCACAGGATGGTTGGGAAAAAGTCGTCGTCTCCCTCCTCCTTCTCTCCCTCTTCCTTCTCGCCCCTTCCCGCCCCCGTGGCGCGCGGTCGGTGGCCAGGCAGCCCCCGCGGACGCCGCGCGGCCCCGCGGCCGGCCTGGCCGCAGGCGCCGCGCCCCGCCGCCGCCGCTCGGCGCATGGCCCGACGCCCGCCGCCTCGGCCGCCTCCCATCACTTCGGGGGCGGCGAGTCGGTCCTGCAGGCCGATCCAAGACCTTTGCGCGGACCTTCGAAAGTTCATGTTTATGCCAATTTGTGTTCATCCAGCGTTGCATGCTTTTGGGTACAGAGTTTTTCACCGGTTTCGGGCACCAGGGACCATCGCAGGTCGGTCCAGCTCGAAAAATGCAGCCGCAATGAGGTCCGCGGCTCTGGTCGTGATTTTTTTCGCTGTGTTTTTTTTTTTTTTTTGCAGCGCCATATCTCAGGGTCCGATCATCGCTGAGGAAGCCCCCGAGTGCCTGAGGTTCGTGTCGGGCAAGCAGGGTGTTCAGGAACGAGGTGGTGACGACACCTGCTGCGTGCAGCTGGTTTCCGCCCTGCCGCCAGCCGCCTGCCTGGATCCATCGGTGCCTCTGGCGCCAGGAGGCGCCAGGAAGAGTATCCACAGTGGAGGCCCATGCCAAGAAACACCCTGCCTGCCTCCGGGGTGCCCTGGATTTTTCTGGGCTTCGACGGTCTTGCCGTGGAAAGCGTGGCGTTCCCACTCGAAATGCGATGGACGTCCCGGGGTCTCAGGGTCGGGTTCCTTGTGGAAGGTCTCTTGCGGTCGGGCCCCCACTGTACTTGAGCTGATTCGCGCCCCCCTCGTTACAGACGGTGCCGCCCCTGCTCGTCCGACCCGACAGGTCCCCTACGGTTGGCGCTTCGCCTTCCTCCGAGGTGGCCGATGCAAAGGGCGCGAGGGTGCGACGATGGCAGCGCATCCCGCATCGCTGGGCGCGATGCGCGAAGTTAGGTGACCTAGGGACCCCCGAGGATCCCAGGAGGAGCCCTCGAGGACCCGGTAGGGAGGCGACCCGACCGCCACCAGTCGTTCTTGTACAGAGTGGGTCAGCCCTCTTTGGCAAAGCCATGTAAAGCCTTCCGAGGGGAAATATGAGTTCTAAGCAAAGAGAAAACTACACTTAAGAGCAATTCGCAGCAATGGGAAAGCAATACAATGCATTGGAAATCAATGCAGCGCGGCGTAATGACAGGCAAAGCAAAGCAGAACGATGCAGATACCATCAATTCAGCTTGCTGTATGCTGTGCAATGCAACTCAGAGCCGCGTAAGTCACTGCTCGTGAGCTCAAATCGAAGATCTTTCCGATTGAGTGCAACACCACCAACACAATGCACATTCAACCACAAACTAGCATCGCAAGGCAATGCTATGCAAATGCACGCAAACTTGCACCAGGGTAAATCATGCTGTAAATCAGTACAACACAAAGCGATACCAATCGATGTAAAGTAGGGTCACTCAAGGCAAGGCGAAGTGAAGCAGGGTACAGCGACACAGAGAGGAAGGACACCAACCAGGAAATGGGGCTGTGCGGGGGCTCCCCGATGAACAGAGGGGGGGGGACCGTCCCTGGACTCGGCGGCGAGCCCAGGGTGGACGTGAGAAGGGCCCCGGCCTTCTCTTGAAGGCTCGGAAGGCCCCGGTCTCCTGAGAGGTTTCGAAAGTCTCCCCGAAGACGCAGGAGACATCTCAGAAGGCTGGAGGCCTTCTGAGAAGCCCCGCCTCGTGTTTGTGCTCCTCTAGCCCTCCTCCTGCACCCAGGCGCTATTCGTGCCAGAGATGGGCTTCGTTCCTTGCTTGGCGATCCCCCTGGCAGTGCCGTGACTGGACAGCGAAACAATGAGAAGGGCCACCAGCCAGGAAATGGGGCTGTGCGGGGGCTCCCCGAGGAACAGAGGACGGTCCCTCGACGAGCTCCAACGGAGGCCGCGCGCCCCGATCGCCTCCTGAGCGGCGAGGAGCTGGAGAGCAACCGCGGGATGGCCACCGGGCCTCTGGCAGGAAGAAGCAGGGGCCCCATCGAGTAAAGCTCGGAGGCGCCCCCAGGGGGGGGCGGGGCGGTGAGGACTCCGGGGGGGGAGGGTGCCATGTCCGCCGCAATGGACTGTTCCTGGATGTCGAGAAGCGGGGGGCACGGTGCCGCAGCTCCTGCCGCGTGGGCTCGCCGGGCCGCGCGCTGCTTGCGCGCGCGAGGCCGCGGGTGCGCCCATTCCCTCGCTGCACGGTCTGGATTTGGGGCTCCTTAGATCGTGAAAGACACCACCACTCGAATATCGTTTAGGCATACCCAGCACGACCACACCCAAAGCGACCAGTCTAAACACGTTTAGGCATGTTCGAACGCATTAGCATATACGATGTCAGCGTGCACTACTTGCGCACGCCCAACGACCCCACGCCCGCCCGCTTCACGCACGCATGCCCAATTTGGCCTCCCAAAGGAGATCCAAGTCTGCAGGTAGCGCAGGGAACGCCCCTCTTAGGCAAGGAGCGCAGGGACCGCCCCTATTGTATGAGCTGACAGCTAGCCCCCATACCCATGCGACCCCCAGAGTTCTCGGGTTGGAATTCGGGGGGCCCATCAACCCGCGACCATACTTAAGGCGAGTCCTCAAGTCGCGAGGCCAGTTCAGCACCCCCTGCGGGTATGAGGGTGCGTTGCCTGTTCATCACTCTTAGATGTTCGAACTGAGGACCTTCCTGGGGCCACCCACCGTGCCTGGTCGACTCTAGTACGACTCTAGTTCGACTCTAGTCCGACTCTAGCTCGACTCTAGCTCGACTCAAGTTCGACTCAAGTCGACGGGCGTTCGACGCAGCAGCGACGCATGAGTGGAACGAGTAGCTCCAGAAAGGTTCCCAGAACGAGCATCCAACCCCCCTCTCTCCAGCCTGGTTCGCGGGCGCGGCCCCGGCGGTGTCCTGCCTCGGCTGCCGCGGCTGCGTGGCCTCGGCGCCGCCGTCGAAGCACAACTTGCAGCAGCACGACATGTCGACGCACCGCGCGGCTTTCTCGCATCGGCGCTGGGGCCCGTTGGCGGCGCCTCCGGCGCCGCGCCCTGGCGCGCTCCCAGTGCCAGGCACGTCAGGGGCCGGCGCAGAGCACGCCAGGGGCGGCGCCGGAGGCGCCGCCTTGGGGGCCACAGCGCCGAGCCGAGACCACCGTGCGCGGGCCTCCGGAAGCTTCCTCCTCCTCCTCCTCCTCCTCCCTCTCCTCCTCCTCCTCCTCCTCCTCCTCCTCCTCCTCCTCCTCCTCCTCCTCCTCCTCCTCCTCCTCCTCCTCCTCCTCCTCCTCCTCCTCACTCCTCCTCCTCCTCCTCCTCCTCCTCCTCCTCCTCCTCCTCCTCCTCCTCCTCATGCTTGTGCGGTCTTCGGTGCCTCTGGTCTGGCCACGGCCGCGCGGCTCCGTCCGGCGCCGCAGGCGCGAGCGGCAGCCCGCGGCGAGGGAGCCCGAGACGAAGGTGGCCAAATTAGTGCGGCGGTGCAGGCGTGCCCTGAGCGTGCGAGTGTCGGGCCGGGCGAAAGGGGGGGTTTGGGAAAGGGGGGGTTACGAAATCTGCTGCATGCAGCTGTTTTCGGCCCCACCGAGGGGCCCATTCCTCGATACACGGGCGCCTCCCCGCGCCGGGAGGCGCCGGGAGAATCAGCTACGTGAGCTGATTCTCAAACCCCCCTTTGCTATCCCCCCCTTTCGCCCGACCCGAGCGTGCGAGTGGGGGGGAGGCGTGAGCCCGCCGCGGGGTGGGCTTCGTCTGCGCCTGCTCCTTGCCGTTTTGCTGCTGCTGCTGCGTCGGCTGCTGCTATAACTGTTGCGGGTATATGCCTCACAGGAAGCGGTGCCAATACCGCGAGCCTTGCCCCGTTTTCGCGTTTTTGGTGCCGATGCCTGATGCCGCGAGCCTTGCCTCGTTTTCGCCTTTGTGGACTTCCTGGGAGACCCTCGTCGCCATGGCTGGATTCGCCTAAACATTTTTGCCAAAACGCACCCCAGGAGAGGTTCGTGGAGTAGCGGTATGGGTATTTCTTGTTTCCCGAAGTGCTGATGCTGGTGCTGCTGGTGCTGCTTGCTGCCACTCCGCGGCAGCACTGGACTTGGGCAACATGTGCTGCGACGCTGTCGGCATCAACAGAGGGGGCTGATTCCTCTTGCCCTGGTCAAACAACTCCAGAGCTCAATTACAGAGGTGCTGGCTGTCCCGTTCCTCTGTGTACAGGGCCGATTTACTACAGCCGACGTGCGGCCTCATATGGAAGGTATAGCTGTTTATTCAAGTGGCTTGCGCCATTCCGCCGACCCCAGAGCGAGTGCTTGCGACGATCTTGGAAGTTATCTGGAGTGTCAGGAGCTTCGTGGATGCTTTTGATGTGCTCGTGGGAGGCCTCGGGCTCTTGGGGGCATCCGGGGGGCCTTTTGTGCCTTCTTGGGGGCCTCCTGGGAGCTTCTTGGGGAACCCTTGGGGGCCTCATGGTGCCTTTTGTGGGCGCTACGGGGGCGTCGGAGGGGCTCTTGGGGCCATCTTGGGGAAAGAGGCTCGGAATGTCAGTTCGCATCCCCCTTCTTGAGCCCCTTTGAGGGCCCTCTTGGGGCTCTCTTGGACAGCCAGGGGGGCCCCTGCGGCCGTATTGGGGCCTTTTAGGCCGTCATGGGGCTTTCTTTCATCCGCCATCTTGGGGCGATCCTGGGAACCCTTTGGGCTGTCTTTGATTGTGTCAGGACAGGACGAAGAAGGCGAGTATGCTCAAAAGGTACACGTTCCGATGGGAATTGACGATTTTCGCTTGCGGGGGCCCTCTCGGCGGTCCTCTGGGACCACTCATGGGCCGTCTTGGGCGCCTAAGCCATGGAGGGACATCGCGGAGCTGCCTTGGGCGATCTTGACGCTTTCCGTGGCTGTTTTGGCGCTGTCCTGGCGCTCTGTGTGGGCTCTCTTGGGTCGGTTTGGGGCTCTTCGGAGGCTCCGGAGGCCCCGGGGGTGCGTTTAGGAGCTCATCTCCCCCCCCCTCTCAAACGGCATTTTGGACCCCATGGGGAGGGGGAAAGGGGGAGGGGCACAGCCAAATGTCACACACGCCTTCTCACCCCTGGCAAGCGGGGAATCGGCGGATTTGTCGTTCTTCGAACTCTGACATGTGGTCTTTTCTGGGAGCCTCACGGGGTCCCAAGATTCCTTGCGGTGCTGGGGATTCCGTTCAGATTTTGTCAGATTGTCGGACTTGGACGACGCCTGGGCGGAAGCTGGACGAACTTTGGACGACATCTAGCCGAGAGGGTGAAGTCGGGAAGGTCGACATCTGGGGGAGATCTTGTCGAGGCTCCGCAGAGGCTCCCATTGAGGCTCGCCCAGACGAGCCGCGTCTTGGCTCGGCGTGCGCGGGGCCCGGCCCGCCGCGCCGCAGGCTGCGACTCTGCGTGCCTCCGTCGGCACAGGTGAGTGCGTGCGTGTGCGTGTGCGGGTGTGTGTGTGTGTGTGTGTGTGCGTGTGTGTGTGTGTGTGTGTGTGTGTGTGCATGTGTGTGTGTGTGTGTGTGTGCGTGTGCGTGTGCGTGTGCGTGTACGTGTGCGTGTGCGTGTGCGTGTGTGCGTGTGCGTGTGCGTGTGTGTGTGTGTGTGCGTGTGTGTGTGTGTGTGTGTGTGTGTGTGTGTGTGTGTGTGTGTGTGTGTGTGTGTGTGTGTGTGTGTGTGTGTGTGTCGGCGGCTCCTGTGTGTCGGCGGCTCCTACACTTGACAGTGTGCGACGTCTCGTACACCGTGCCTTCGACAGCGCTCGATCGCAATTCGCACTTCCACCCTGCTGCTCGTGCCTGAGGACCGTCTGCGCCGCCGGATTAGAATTTCAGTGAGTGTTTGTGTGTGTGTGTGTGTGCCGGCGGCGAGCCCGGGTGGGAAGTGAGACGGGGCGGGCCTTCTCAGAGTTTTCTGAGCCTTCCCCGAAAACGCAAGCAACTTCTCAGAAGGCCAAGGGCTTCTGAGAAGCCCCGCCGCCTTCTGAGAAGGCCTCCTCCTTCCTTCTCTCTTCCCCCCTTGCTCGCCGACGAGTGTGTGTTGTGTGTGTGTGTGTGTGTGTGTGTGTGTGTGTGAGTGCGCGCGTGTGTGCGCGCTTGTGTGCGCGCGCGTGTATGTGTGTGTGTGTGTGTGTGTGTGTTTGTGCTTGTGTTTGTGTTTGTGTTTGTTTGTTTGTGTTTGTTTGTGTGTGTGTGTGTGTGTGTGTGTGCGGCCACCTCGTTTCCTTCTGGCGCGCGCTCGCGTCGGCGACGTCTTTGGACGGCGTGGCGTTGCGCCCGTCCGCGGACTGCACGCTGGTCGGTCGCTCGCCCGTCGTGCCGCTCGTCGTGCCGCCTGTCGTGTTGCCTTGCCTTTTTGCGCCCTTCGCGCGCACGGTCGGTGGTCGGTTCGTCCTCCGTCTCTCCCCGCCGTCCACGCCCGGAGGGCCTGTGGCGCTGCCTCCTCGGAGTCCGTCGCGCGCGGGGTCCCGTCCGCTGTGCTTGACTCAATCCGCCTCGCCGCTGCGCTCGGGGCCGCGACCGCCAACGAATGCTTGAGTAGGGGATCGACCACAACAGCGGTTCATATCAATGTTCAGTTGCTCGCCGAATCTACGGACAAGTGCTCATACTGCTCAGTCGACTGGCGAAAAACAATTATGCACTCGTCGTATATTCGACGAGGACAATCAGACTTTGGTACGTCAGTCCTGTAGTCGATCCCCTACTCGAAATGTGTGTGTGTGTGTGTGTGTGCCGTCTCCTCCACGCCGCCCCTGCTGCACCTGCCCTGCCGTCCCTCTGTCGCTCGCCCTTCCGTGCCCTCAGCACGCCCCGCCGTGCTCCTCCTGGTGCCGTCGGCGCTGGCCTCCTGGCACCGTCCCGCCTCTTCGTCTCCCCCCCCCCCGCAGCCCGTGCCCGGCCGTGCGCGTGGCATGGTTGCTCACTTCGGGTGGATCTCTGCCCCTTGCTTCTGCATGGGCTGGCCGCGCGCGCGCGTTTGCTCCGCTTCCTTCCCTTCGACGCCTCGACGCTGCGCGCGAGGCCTCGACACGTGTGTGTGTGTGTGTGTGTGTGTGTGTGAGTGAGTGTGTGTGTGTGTGTGTGTGTTTGTGTGTCGGGGGATCTGATTAGCACCTCCATCAGCTGCTCGCGCTTGATGACCCACTGCGCCGCTGACCCAAAACAGTGCCGAGAGATCTGCATGGTCTGAAAGTTGCTATTTGGCCGGCCCGCGGCCGCTTCTTTTTCCCTTCTGGCCCCCCCCTCGGCTTTCGTCGTAATTCGCTACGGACGCGTCCTTCCGTGAATTCGACCGCTTGTCGGACCCACCTCGTCGCAGACCAAATAATGCATGCTTCGAGGAAAGAGGCATTGTGACCATGACCAAGATGTCGCGGGGATCTTGCCATCGCCGATCGTGGTCATGGCCACTGCCGGCCGTAGCCGGTTTTTGAGGATGATCCTCGAGATGGCGATGACCAAGATGGACGATGTTCAAGATCGGCGCCGACGTTTCCGCGTTCAGTTTTGGTCATGGTCCTCGTTTCGTTTCCCACCAGTGTGTGTGTGTGTGTTTGTGTTTGCTCCCCCCCTCTCTCTCTCCGTCTATCCCCGCCTCTTCACTTATCGTGCATGCGTCTACCCGTCCATGAGAACCCCTTCGGGGTCGTTCTCGTTCGCGTGCGACGTCTCCTCAACGCAGGTTGGCAATCCACTTGACGCAGCCCGTTTCAGTCATATCGCGACCGTGGTGCTGCACTGGCCGGCGGAACAACACAGCGCGCCTCCCCCCGCCCCCAGCAAATTATTAGGACGCTGCTCCTGGCAGAGGAGACGACGTGCTTCCCTCCCCTCTGCTCCCGGTGGGCGTCGGTCCCCAGAGGTCCGATGACTTGTCTTTGAAAGCGGGGTGCCTGGAAGTCCCTGTTTCAGGAGGGGAGAAAAACACACAGACACAATTAATCGGCGATTCCCAGAAAAGATGGGAAAACATGGGAAGTGGGGGGGGGAGACAAACACCCAGAACATATGGGAAGACATGGGGGATCTTCTTCTTTGTGTGTACTTATTTGCGTGTCCCAGTTCCCCTTCATTGCTGCCAGAACTCAGCGAGCGAAGAACGGTATAAAATAAACTTTTTCGCTGTCGGGGGCGCCTGTCCCTGGGCGGCTGGAAAGTTTATACCCCTTCGGTGCCACCGTAAGGATATAAACTTTCCAGCCGCCCTGGGGCAGGCGCCCCCGACAGCGAAAAAGTTTATGTTATACCGTTCTTCGCCCGTTAAAGAACACTCTTCGTCCGGCCGGAAGGTGTCCGGGCGCCTCCTGCGCTCCGCATGACGCCCCGCCGCGGCACGCGCCGGGCCCCGCCGGCGGCGCGCGCCCGCCCCGCGCCAGGGAGAAGGGCGAGGACCGGCCTCTGCTCGGCGGCGTCTTCAGCGCCGCGGGCGCGGGCGCTCTTCGGCGGCAGCCGCGGCGGGAGGCCCATGGCGGGGTCGGGCGGGGTCGGGCGGCGGCGGGGCACGTTGACGGGCGAAGAACGGCAAACTGTTTCGCCGTCGGGGGCGCCTGCCCCTGGGCGGCTGGAAAGTTTATACCCCTACGGTGCCACCGTGAGGGTATACACCTTAGGCGATGCTTAAGAAAACTTCTTTTTTCGGCCAGGGTCTCGATTGCTCTTAACTTTTCAATGTGAATCTTAAGATCTTGATAGACATGTTGGGTTAGTTTCAAGTTCTGAGACTATGAATTTCTTAACCCATGATTTCTTAAGCATTTCGCAGGGTGTAAACTTTCCAGCCGCCCTGGGGCAGGTGTCCCCGACGGCGAACAAGTTTATCTTATACCGTTCTTCGCCCGTTAGGCACGGGTACTCCAGATTTCGTAATACAGGGAGGGGGGTCTCATTTCGGGGGGGGGGGTCTCTTTTCCAGGCCGTCTGGGAGGGCCCGGGGGGTCTGAGGGGACGATGTTTTGGAGGGTTCTCCCACGGGGGAGGTCTGAAATGGCTCGTCTTGGAGGGTCCAGACCCCCTCCCTTTTATTACGAAATCTGGAGTACACTTTGGTAGTTGAAAGTAGGTATGTTTGAATTTCCATATTCCAGTCTGCCTTAAGCGCCTTCCCACCTCAAGGGTCGAGTGGTTTCTTTCTTCCCTCCTCGTCAGGGGGCGGGCGGTGTTCTGAGCTGCTTCCAACGCCTTCGTACTTCATGTTTCTACCTACTGCTTTCGACCGACGGATCAACTCGTCCAGAGGATAACCCCAGAGGGTCTTTAATGCTTCACGCCCTCCCGCCCCCAGCCCTCTTGGGTCCTTGGGGGCCTTTTTGAGACTATCTTTGAGGAGTTCGATCAAGGCATGGTGGGTCCCTTATAGGACTCACCCCTCTGGGATCCCACACATCGTTTCTTGGGCTCGCTTTGGAAGCTCTTGGAGCGCTCTCGGGGCCGTTTTGAAGCCCTCTTTGGCCTCAATTTGGCCTTTCGCGGGCCATCTTGGACCCATTTTGAGGCCTCGTCAGTGTTGGAAGAGGAAATACCCTAACCCACCTACGACCAAAGGGCTGGTGTGATTATATCTCCAACATCTGACGCCTTGGAATCGGGGAATTGCATCGGACTTGGCACTGGAGGCAAGGAGCTGAGGACCCTGGTAGCGGGAAGTATAATGTTCGGCCGCTTGCAGCCTGGTGGTCCCCGCAAGGGGGGCCTCGCTGGTGCGTCAGCCTTGCGCTTTCTCTCGAACATGAAGGCCAAGGTTGTAAGCCTGGTGTGCCTCACGCCCAGGGTTCTTCCCCGAAAGACGACCGTTTAGAAGGTCCAGCTCCCCCTCTTTCTCCTCCATGTCCTCCTCATCGTTCTCCTCCAACCCTTGGGATGCACCTCCTGGAAGACTAACTTCGGCATCGGCGGTGGTATGTCCGTGGTCGACAACCGGTTTGATCATGCGCAATCCCGGCTCAATCCCGCGTAATTCAGCTTGATCCAGCTTAGTTCTGGGCCGAATATTTGGGCCAATCCAGCTCGGCAGCCCCTGCATCGGGCTCCACAGGCCGTCATCGTTCTCACGAAGGCCTCCCAGGAGTTGCTTCACAACACCTCCCCCCCCTCCTCCCTGGTCCCTCCCCGCAGCAAGAATCAGGCGACACGGGAAGGGCCCGTTGCCAAGCCCCCCCCCGCCGGAGGGGCCGACCGACGCAGTGTTCTCCACCGCCCACCAAACCACCCAAAACCCAACCCGAAGGCCACGATCTGCCCTCCACTTCCAGTGGGGGGGGGGGGTCGGGGAACACATGAAAAAACACACATGGAACCCGTACCCCCCCCAACCCGAAATTGGGGTCTTCGGGTTGGTATCCCCCCCAACCCGAAATTGGGGTCTTCGGGTTGGGTTGGGGTGGTCTGGTAGGTCGTCAGGGAAGGGCCCCTCGACAAGCCCCCCCCCCATCGGAGGGGCCGACCGACGCAGCGTTCTGGGCCGCGCGGGCAGGCCGTGGGGGGCCCAGTCTCGGAGGGTACCAACTATACACCAACACCGATCCTGGCCCAGGATCACCCTGGGCCCAGGATCGGTGTATATGCCTTCTTGCGCAAGGCAGGAGGGCGTATACACCGATCCTGGGCCCAGGGTGACCCTGGCCAGGATCGGTGTTGGTGTATAGTTGGTGCCTTCCCACAGTCCGGCCCCGGACCCGGCGGCCGCGTGTTGGGATCCACGGCGGCCGCCCTCGCGACACCACCCTCGCGGTGCGCTCCGTGCCACCCGCCTGGCTCCGCTGTGGTTCTCGCGCTCGGCACGCGGGTGGGGCCAGGGGCGCCTTAAGCCTCTTGGCGGCGAGAGGAGCGCCACGAGGAGGAGGAGGAGGAGGAGGAGGAGGAGGAGGAGGAGGAGGAGGAGGAGGAGGAGAACGGCGGGGGTGGCACTACCACAACCACTGCGAGGGATGGCCGCCTCCAGCGGGGAAGTCCGCGACGCCTCCCCCGGCTGGGGATGGGGGCTGCCTGAAGTGAGGAAGTGCTGTGGCACATCCTGGGAGCCTCGTATGTCTCGGAATTCCGTTCCGACTCGACTTTGCGTCCGCGTGCGCCAGCGTCTGCTAATCGAGAAGCAAACGCCAACTCAGCGTCGATTAACGTAGATTGGCGTCGATTTAGTATTGATTTGCATTGGTAGGAGTCAGTGCCGGTCAGAGTCGATTCGCAAGAGCCAGCAGGATGACATGGGAGTTTCCCATGAGTTGCCACAGAAAGGAGAGGGGATCACGCCACTGGGAGAACCCCTCCTGGCTCGTCGCGCTGGTCGTGGTGGTTTTGCTTTCCTACCTCGCTCCTTCTCCTCGTTCCTCCTTGCTCGTCGCTCCTCCTCCTCCTCCTCCTCCTCCTCCTCCTCCTTGCTCCACCTCCTCCTCTTTCTCCTCGCTCCTCCTCCTTCTCCTCGCTCCTCCTCCACCTCCTCCTCCTCCTTCTCCTCGCTCCTCCTTCTCCTCGCTCCTCCTCGTTCCTCGCTCCTCGCTCCTCGAGGCGTTGTGGTCCGAGGCGTTCCTTGCGGGCAGCCCGGCCGCCACAACCCCAGCTTCTGGCCCGTGTCTCGCGCTTGCGTCGGGCGGGAACGATCGTCGGCTCGGCCCTGTGCTGGCTGAGTCGCTCTGGTTCTTATTTCAGTTTTGGAAGAAACGTCGTCACAGAGGTTTCCTTCGCCAGCTTGGCACCGACGTCTAAAGCAAAGGCGTTACTGGCTTCGGCGTGTGGTGAACTTAGACAATGCGCGTCAGCCTCTCAGAGAGCACCACTGATCTGAAATGGGAAAAGCCTCTAGGGCTGGACGCGGCCATGAACAAAACAAGGATCCTAGGTGGGCGTGTCAGGCTAATCGTCAGTGTGGCTACGCTCGCGATTTGCAGTGTGCCCAAAGGTGCTACATGTGCGGTAGGGACACGAATGGCCAACCCGACCCGAACGGACCACCCCCAGAGCGAGGTGGCAAGGGCAGGGCGCCGAATACTCCGAGAACTCCGAAGGTGGCCAGAGCCAAGGACGGTGATGGTACCGCTACGGACGCGACTGCAAGGCCAGGAAGGCCCCCGGGGCACTCCGTAGGGTCGGTCTTGCTGATGATGATCCTTTTGTTGAAAGTGCTTGAACAAGCTCTCGCTGTGGCTGAAGCTGCGGAGAAAGCGCGACGGACCCGCGACGACATGCTCCGCAGGGACTTGGGTCGACAAGCGGCAAAAAGGCAATGAGGTCGAACTACCCAGCACAAAGGTCAAAGACCGCAAGCAACAACACGATGAAAACGGCTGCTGTTTTGGCTGCTGTTCAAAAGGAGTTGACCAACATCCAGCTCGAGGTCACCATTGCGAGGTCCGCGGTCATGGCGTCGGGGGTGGCAGCAGCACGCGCGCAGGTGATGTGGGAGATGCCTTCCAGCGGCCCCAGCGGGTTGTCCAAAACGTCCCGTCCGCCGTCCTGGTGGGCAACCGCGCCGCAGCATTCGATTCGCCTCCCTGTCCACGCGCCTCGGAGAGCCGCAGACGGCCTTCGAGCAGCACAGTCAGTCGCAGAAGTCACCTGAGGCCGGAGCAGGAGCAGGCCTCCTGCTTCTGCTAGTCACCCACGTGGCGCTGATTGGGGTTCGGCAGGAGTCGACGATCCTGAACTCGAAGGCGCCATGGCTGACGACTGGTACGCGCGCGGGCCTCAACGTGCCGTGGCTGTTCCAGGGGGAGATTTGCAACTTGGGCGATCTCACGCCGGACCAGCTTATTTCAGTTACTCGTGGGGGAACGGGGTGCCGGGCGCGCCCTCTATTGGCAGCAACGGCGGCTGGCGGCTGCACGGCCGAATGCAAGGGCAGGGGGGTAGCGTGAATTTACGCCGCGCTCGTGACTCATACACTCGGAAGGCTATATTTGCAACCTCAACTAGTAAGTCAGTAGAGCAGCATCGTTCGAGAGATGAGAGGTCATTGGGCGGCGGCGCAGCCCCCCGCTTTCCTCTTCCATGTCGGCGCGCCCCACGCAGGGGCAGACGAAAGCAGTTTGTCTTGCCGCCTTCAACGGGCCGGGGTGGCCACTCAGGATGTTTTGGGCGAAGCCAAGCGCATAGTAGTCGCGTGCGTGCAAGAGCACCATCTCGGGGGTCACTCGAGGCAATCGGCTGAAGAGTGGTGTGCGAAGCGTGGGCGGAAGCCGTTCTCCGCAGATGCGATCGCGGGGGCTGGGGGCGAACGCTCAGCGGGCGCGGGCGTCATTGTGGGGGCCAATATCGGCGTCGCTCTATTGGGCGGGTTCCTTGACAGTCATGTCTTGATTCCTGGCCATGCAGTTGCTGGCCACATGCGCGCGGGGCCTCGTCGTGTCTTCATGGCAATCTCGCTCTACGCGGCTCAGGGCGAGCTCCTGGGAGGCGGCGGTGCAGACGCAATGCGAAAAATTGGCATGTGTTTGTCATGCCGCCGCTGGCCATTCATCGTCGGGGCGGACTG